AAAAAAAAAAAAAAAAAAAAAAAAAAAAAAAAAAAAGAATTCAGAGCCAAAATTACAAAGGTGCCCAATAAAATTAAACAAGAAACGGATGCAAATATGTGACAGTATTGATAGGTTTGCATTCACACCAAGTAACACAAATTACGTTCCAACAGTGTTCTCCAAAGCTATTCATCTCCAAACATTGTAAACTGCGTCCTTAAATTCTGGGTAAGAGATCAACGTTGAATTCCAAGAACCACCGTCAGCCGAAATTAATGCGCCATAAATCCCTTATCGGGACGTATCAAGACAATGCCACTTACTACGGTCATAAAAGTTTGGCAGGTTCGAGTTTGCAGCAAAGGTTGCAAGAGGCCATCTAGGATACAGATACTCAAGTCAAAATACCAAGGGAAACTGTTACAGCAAATCTCAAGGTCAACGCACTGCGGACACAAAATACCCAGGGTAGCAACAAGCCTCAATTATTAACCTTAATTGATGACTCCTTAGGTAACTGGACACGATGGATGGAAACAATAGTAAAAGAAAGATTCTTAGAATAACAGATGGACCGCGAACACGGCGCCTTGCAGAAGGAGAACCGCGCGAGAGTCGTCGGGGGAAACAAGGGTCAGGCTCAGCAGCGACCAACCGGAAGGGCACAGCGAAGGGCGTCGGGTCGAGGGGGGGGGGCGGCGACACACCCCACCGCGGTGCAAGCCCAGAGGCGGCGGCGAACCCGGAGCCCCGTCTGGCCGAGGCCCAGCGGGTTCCTCACCAGGCTCGCTGCCACCCCGGCTTCGGCCGCGTCACTGCCCGTCGTTGCCGGGGGACGGCTTTCCCCGCTCACCTCACACGCTCCACCTCACGCACTCAGCCTCTTGGAGCCGGCGTGCCCCGGACCCCCGAGGCCCGCCGCCCGGGGCACGCCTCATTCCGCCATCTTCGCTCCTTCTCACGTCCTCCAACCGCGGGGCGGCCGTTCCCACAGGCCCCTCCCCTCCGCTGACTGCTGATTGGACAGAGCTTTGCTCGCGCGCGCTCTTCCTCTGTCGAGGTTGGCTGGAATGCACATCAATCAGGACGCTCTCCGGTGTCTTTCTGTTGGACCTGGTTACTTGTAGTAACCAGGAAAACGGCTTTTGTAACTCACTTAATTGAAAATTAAAATTCCACATAGGGAGGAGTGTCATTTTTTAGTAAATAATGTGGCGAGGCAGAGTGACTATTTTAAGCCATCGTTAAAATAAATGTTACTAGTCTTTTTATTCTCAGGCCCAAGTGCTTTCTTCCTGAGTCTAACACTGCACTCATTTTAATGGTTTCAGTACTTCTGCCTTTGATCCGTTTAGAATTTTCAAGGCTCGAAAGTTGCCCTGCTGTTTACAGGTCTGATCAATGCAGGAGGGCAGTTTTCTTCGCTTTTGAGGGCCTATTCGCTGAATGAGAATCTGTTAACTGGCAGTTTTATTGTTTCTTCCAACTGTAGGATTCAAAAATCCTTTTTAAGATGATTCCAGGAGAGGCAAAGGGGTGACTTCTTTTCCAGATTATAAACCAACCCCTGGATAAGCAGTGTAGACAGTAGTGCTTTCCAAACACCACCCAGAATTATCATCTGGGCCACTTCCTAAATAGAGATTCATAGGCTGAACCCTCTCTCGTAAGGTGCCATCCAATACAGAAACACATTTGTGTCTTTCCAAAGTGTCAGGATTTATTGAATAACAAGTTCACAAGATATATTGCTTCACTAGCTGTAGTTTACCAAGCAGCTCTGATTTCCCTTTATAGCTGGCAGGTGGCAAGGCTCTCATCTATACCAGGCTGGCCTGAAACTCACCATGTAGCTGAGGATGACCTACCACATCTGGTTCATGGGGTGCATGCCAACCATGTAACACCATCTTCAGTCCAAACAGGTTCTTTTCTTCCAGTGTTAACTTCAAATAATACATTAAATTTCATACAGTAATGTATATGTATATGAAGGTTATAGAATGGCTACCAAAGACTCAAAGCCTCAGTGTTCAAAGAGGCTTACTGGATGCAGGCAATGAGTTGATACAAATGCAAAAAGAATCACTGTAGATTGATATTATTAAACCCAGTCAGAAAGCTACTACAGGCTGGGGCTGGAGAGATGGGTCAGTGGTTAAGAGCAACTGGCTACTCTTGCAGAGGACCCAGGTTCAATTCCCAGTACCCATGTGGCAGCTAACAACCATTTGCAATTCCGGTTCCAAAGCCCTCTTATGACCTCAGGTACTGCATGACACGGGTGCACTTACATGCATGCAGGCAATACACTCATATATATAAAATAAAAATAATTTAAAAAATAAAAAAAAGAAAGCCACCGCAGGCTGAACCTAGCTGTAGGGTCCAGATGAGCTGCAAAGAAGCAGGACAGAGGCGGGGCAGACAAATGGACAGACAATAGTAATTCAAGTGGGCAGTGTCAAGCAGTAGGACCCATGCTAAACTGAAACCCAGGGGACAAGCAGAAATATTCTGCGCCACCACACCCTTAAAAAACTTCTTAGCCGGGCCGGGTGGCGCACGCCTGTAGTCCCAGCACTTGGTAGGCAGAGGCAGGTGGATCTCTGTGAGTTCAAGGCCAGCCTGGTCTACAGAGCAAGTTCTTAGCCAGCTGGTGATACAGGGAGGCCCTGTCTCAAAAAGACCAAAAAAAAAAAAAAAAAAAAATTGTCCATTTAGGGTTTTTTTTTTTCTCTCTCTTTTTCATGGTCTTTTTGAGACAGTCTCTCTGTAGTCCCAGCTGGCCTGGAACTCTTGTAGATCAGGTTGGCCTTGAACTCACAGAGATCTGCCTGCCTCTGCCTCCTGAGTGCTGGGATTAAAGGTGTGTGAGAAAATGGTTCATCAAATGATTAAAGTCTCCATGACCATTCTCCTCCTGAATAATGATCCACAGAACATACTGTATTTATTAATTAATTAATTACATATATATATATATATACTTTAGTCTTTGTGAAACAGGGTCTCCTTGTAGCCCCAGCTGGCCTGGAACTCACTATGTAGACCAGGCTGGCTTTGAACTCACAGATTCACCTGCTTCTGCCTCCCAACAGAACATATTTTAATACCTGCTGGAAATGTGTCATTTCATAATTGACAGAGAAGAGACAACTCCTCAGGATAATAAGCTGGGCGTGGTAGCACATGCCTTTAATCCCAGCACTAGGGAGGCAGAGGCAGGTTGATCTCTGTGAGTTCAAGGCCAGCCTGCTGGGGTTACAGGGAGACCCTGGCTCAAAAAGACCAAAAAAAAAAAAAAAAAAAAAAAGTGTGCCTTTAAATGTAAAGAACTGTGAAGATTATTGATCTATACTAGAATGTCCTTAGGGCTATTTGGGTTTTTTATTCTGTTTTGCTTTTTTGAGACAAGATCTCATGTAGCCCAGCTTGGCTAAGAATGACCTTGAACTAATCTTCATGTCTCTACTTCCTGAGTGCTGGGATTACATGTATGCATCACACCCAGCTTCCTATTTATTTATTTATTTATTTATTTATTTTTGGTCTTTTTGAGCAGGGGTCTCCCTGCAGCCCCAGCTGTCCTGGAACTCACTAGACCAGACCGCCTGCCTCTGCCTCCAAGTGCTGGGATTAAAGGTGTGAGCCACTACTCCAGGCCCCTATTTTGTTGTTTTTTTCTTTGTAAGCAACACTTCTGGCCAACCAGGAGACCCTGTCTCTAAAATAACCACCACTACCAAGAAGAGAGAAAGTGAGGAAGGAAAAGAAAGGAAAAAAAGTTAATTGAATCTTAGAAGAAATGGGAAGAGTCCAAGGCCAAAATACTGTGCCTCTTGGCAGACAGTTTAAGCCTCTAAATGAATTGCCTCTATTACAATGGGCTTATGTAGCAGTGCTTTACACAGGAAAGTGAGAATACAGACATAAATCTGGGCAAGGAAGACACTACCTGCTATTTTAAACTTGGACACTTCAGTTACTTAAAATTTTTTAATTTTTATTGTTACTTTTTTTTCTTTTTTTTTTGGTCTTTTTGAAACAGGGTCTCCCTGTAGCCCCAGGTGGCCTGAAGTTACTACGTGGACCAGGCTGCAGGCTGGCCTTGAACTCAAGAGTTCTGCCTGCCTCTGCTTCCCAAGTACTGGGATTAAAGGCATACACAACTATGCCCTGCACAATTTTTTTTTTTTTTTTTTTTTTTTTTGAGACAGGGTCTCCTTGTAGCCCCAGATGACCTGGAACTCACTATGTAAACCAGACTGACCTCAAACTCACAGAGATCTGCCTTCCTCTGCCTCCCAAGTGCTGGAATTAAAGGCACAAGCCACCATGCCCGGCACAAATTCTTTTTTTTTTAAAAGAATATTTTATTTTTATTTCTTTTATTTATTTTTTTTTTGGTCTTTTTTTTTGAGACAGGGTCTGTAGCCCCAGCTGTCCTGGAACTCACTATGTAGACCAGGCTGGCCTTGAACTCACAGAGATCTGCCTGCCTCTGCCTCCTGAGTGCTGGGATTAAAGGCGTGCACCACCACGCCTCGATATTTTAAGTGTATGAATGCATTGTCTTCATGTGTGTAAGTGCACCCATGTCATGCAGTATCCAAGGAGGTCAGAAGAGGGCATCAGATGCCCTGGAACTGGAGTTAGGACAGTTGTTCACTTCCATGTAGGTGCTAGGAATTGAACCTGGGTTCTCCACAAGAGCAGCCAGTGCTTTTTAACTGCTGAGCTAATTCTCCAGCCCCTTAAAATTCTTCCTAAAAATGCTTTTATTATTTTTATTTTATATGTAGAGTATATTGCTTGCATGTGTTTTAAGTGCACCTGTGTTGTACAGTGCCTAAAGAGGTCAGAAGAGGGTATCAGATCCCCTGCAACTGGAGTTACAGATGGTTGTCAGCTACCATGCAGGTGCTGGGAATCGAACCTGGGTCTTCTTAACTGTTAAGCCAAGTTACTTAAAATTCTTAAAACACACAGACAGACCAAAAAAAAATCAACCAAAATTTTTGTTTTAACCACAATTATTTATTGATGAATCGAGGAATACAATTTTAATGAGACAATAAGGCACAACTGTGGATTAAAACAGTTTGCTATACAGCCAAAGGGGGGGGCCATAATCTTAAGAACTTTATGTAAATCAAGAAGCCTCTGGAGTACTTCTCTAACAATTCAGCATCTAACAATTCAGTATCTTCCTTTTATACAATTCCTATATATTACATCATTTGATCACAAAGTCAGACTGATAGCCTATTAAGAATTCCCCATTCCTGCAGACTGAGTCATCCACCCTATCCACTCCCTTGCTTCTCACTTTTACCCATTCTTTCTGCAGTATTTTTGTTTGCTTGCTTTTTTAATAGCAATTTTTTTTTCCTAAAGAATTGTTTACCCATCTTGGATAGCCTTCCAAGGCAAGGAAACAAGCAATGAGTCGGCATGCCAGTCAGAGCAAATATACAAACAGATTCACATACATAGGATGGGAACAGCCTGATTCAGTCAAGTCTAAACTAAGCTGACATTGGCAGAAAGTTTAGCTAGGTTATTCAAAGACCTCTAATGCCACCTCAGTCTGTGCCACCAGTGCCTGCCCTGTGTGCTTCCAAGGGATCTGCAGTGGTCTACAAGAGTAGCTAGGAAGGTCATGTGACTAGGAAGCTAATGAGACAATATATTCAATGCTTTGGACCAGTATGAGCTGACTCTGGCTTCTAGCATTATAATTTGCCAAGTGTAAAATTCATACAGAATTTTGTGCAAAACTTTAAGACACCGAGGACAATCTTTAATTCTTTAGGACTGAGATAGGCACTTCTGTAACACTAATCTTTCTGTTTGGAAATGAGAAGTGAAAAATATTCCAGTGTATCTAACACTGAGGCATAACCCATGCTGCAGTATGGATGCAGGCGACTTTACAGGGTGCCTAGCCTCTTTGTTCAGAAAACCATGAGATGGTCCCCAAGCAAACTGTCAGAACAGCCACTCTGGTAGTGACAGTGTCCTAAGCAAAGCAAACCTGCAGGCATAAGACTATTTTCTGGATGTCAACACTGTACTTATGTTGAAAATCAGAGGCCAGAGGTAGAGACCTGGGCAAGCCACCTAGGAGACACGGCTCTACAAGTCTCACCAAGGCCACCTTTTAAGAACATCGCTACTCATACGACCTTTGATGACAGAGCAGTGTAGGGGACCAAGAGAGTCATATTCTTCCAAGAGTAGCAGTACTGGTTACTGAAAAGCTCCTGAAAAGGCAATATCCCAGAGACCCATTAAGTGAAGGTATATAAAAACTGGCAGACCACAGAACTACCCTGCCAAGTCAGAAAGATGTTAACAGCATAGCCTGATGTCAAGTAGAACAGAGGGAATCTTGAGGCTCAATGATAAGTAGGGAGGCTGAAAGACTGAATGGATGGAAGGATAGGTGACAGGAAAGTAGAAGTAAAAGACATACAAGAAGGACGCAGGAGCATGCCAGAGCCTTGCTGGAGGGAAGGCAGCATGGCTATGGGTTCCATCCATTGGGAACTTTGCTGGCTGGTTCTTGGCATGAGTTCCTGCCTCATTTCCTTAGACTGGATGGATGTGTGGCGTTCAGCAGCAGAACAGGGGGAGATGGTACTTATAAATGGAGAACTGGTGGGTGGACACTGAACAGAAATAGACCCAGGGTACCATTCTGTAACGCCCTGTTTATACACCAAAGGCAGAAATCTGGGGTTGTCATGCAAGAGCATTAGTATTCTGGGAAAAGGGGGATGATGGGATAAGGGAGGGGTTGGAGTAACAGGAGGACTCTTAAGTTCCAGTTCTTAAATACTTGAAAGCAAGGATAATTGGTCTCAGTCCTTTAGTGAAGAAATCGGATGCTCATTTTCTGTTCTACATCCACCTTCTCCAAAACCTGGAATTGAAAGACAAAATCTTTTAAAACAGTTCTGAGCACCCTTCTGAATAATGGTTCCCCCTCTCTCCAGAGCAGAATTGAACTTAAAAATCAAAAAGTAAGTGGGAGTGTCTATAAGGCCCTGCCCTTCCCTGAGGTTCTAAAGAAAGCTAATGGTTTCTGAGGGGAGACAGAGACATTTTCTTCAGTGGTATAACCACTGGTAAGTTCCCCTATGCTCCAATTAAAACTCATTTATGTAAAAAAAAAAAAAAGGGTATAACCATAAAAGTGAGACTAGCTGGGAAGAAGGGGAGACAAGAGATGGGGACAGGGACTGAATATGATCAAAATATAGATGTATAAAATGTCATAATCAGCCAGGCATGGTGGCGCATGCCTTTAATTCCAGCACTAGGGAGGCAGAGGCAGGCAGATCTCTATGAGTAGTAGAGTGTATGAGTGTACTACACTCTATGAGTGTAGTTAATGTATACCAATAAAAATCTTAAAGGAATTGAAAGAAAAAAAAAAATCAAAAGATAATGGACAGACCTTAACAAATTCTGTGAAAGATATGGCACTGTCACCATCCTGATCAGCCTCCTGGATGGTCCTGTCTGCAATGCTGCCCAGCTGCTCATCGGAGATATTCACTCCAACCATCATGCGTAGCACCTACAAGACCAAGAGGCTGGAATTACAGGGGACTTGGGAGTCAGTGAGTTTCTTATTACAATATTTATTCATTTTGGTTTTTCTTTTAGAAAGATGTTACATATAATATTTTGATATAGGATTTTGGCTGATTTAAAGCTATACCATTAATGGCAGTTCTTGGATGGAAATAATGCCTTCCAAAGTATGGAAGCTCCTTTACAGCTCTTCTTCCTCCTCCTCCTCTTTTAATGAAGCAGAGTCGGATTTAATAAAGGCATTTTATTTTATATTTTATTTATTATTTGTATTTATGTGTATGAGTGTATTACCTGTAGGCATGTTAGTGCACCATGTTGTACAATGCTTGTGGAGGTCAGAAGAGGGCGTCGGATTCCCATGGAACTGGAGTTACTGATGGTTCTAAGCTGCCATGTGGGTGCTGGGAATCAAACCCAGGTCCTCTGCAAGAGCAGCCAGTGCTCTTAACTGCTGAGACATCTCTCCAGCCCCAAATAAAATATTTTTAAAAAAAATCCTTGGCAACTACTTGGCAGGCTGATGTGAGAGGATTTCAAGTTGAGTTCAGTTTAGATAACTTAGTGAGACCCTTTTTTAAAGAGGCAGCAGTGTCTGGGGTATTCAGTAGTAAAGTGCTTACCCAGGAAGCACAGGGCCCCAGTACCATACATATACACACATGGTACCACAAACAAAGTAAGTAACTTCAGTGATGTGACTCTCAGGTAATATGAAAAGGAAAATTCTTAGCATGAAACTGGGGACAGCCACAGCTGTTTTCAAAAGACAAGAGCTGAGTTTTCTCATAGGATGGAAGGCTCTAGCCCAATGGTTCACAAGTCTTCCTTTCCCTACTCCTTTACATCCTTCTGGAAATACTGACTTGTATGAACATTGGGGTTTTTGTTTTGTTTTTATCATTTGCCAGTGTTTGTTTTTTCAGGCTGCCTTGCTATGCTGCTTAGGCTGGCCTTAGATGCCTGGGCTCAAGCAATCTTCCTTAGCTTGACAAATAGCTACCATCATTTATTATGCACTACCTCACAGAGCTATAAACTAATTCTTAAAAATTAGAGATTGTGGGGACTGGGGAAATGGCTCATTGGTTAAGAGTACTGGGGTGGCTAACAACTGGTTGTCTGTAACTCCAGTTCCAGAGGATCTGACACCCTCTTCTGACCTCTGTAGGCATTGCAATGACACAGGTACACTTATATACATGCAGGCAATACACTCATACACATAAAGTAAAATAAAATTAAAAAAAAATTAGAAGTTACGCAGGGCATGGAGGTACATGCCTTTAATCCCAGCACTTCAGAGGCAGAGGGAGGTGGATCTCTGTGCATTCGAGGCCAGCTTGGTCTACATAGTGAGTTCCATGCCAACTGTGGCTATGGCAAAACTATCTCAAAAAAACAAAAACCAAACCAAAAAAAAAGGGAAGTTGCATATTTTAGGTACAAATGCACAATTAACCAATAAAAGAGGCAAGGAGAGCAGGGCATGGTGGTACATGCCTTTAATCCCAGCACTGGGGAGGTAGAGGCTGGAGGGTATCTGTGAGTTCTAGGCTAACCTGGTCTATACGGTGAGTCCCAGACCAACTGGGGCTACAGGGAGACCCTGTCTCAAAAAGACAAAAAAGACAAAAAAAAAAAAAAAAAAAAAAAAAAAAAAAAAAAAAAAAAAGGCAAGGAGAGATGGCTCAGAGGTTAAGAGTGAGTACTTCAAAAGAAGGACTTGAGTTCATAGTGCCCTCGTAGAGCAGCTTACAACTGCCTGTAACTCCAGCTTCAAGATTTGATGACTCTGGCCTCTACAGACACTACACACACACACACACACACACACACACACACACACACACACACACACACACACAGAACTTTAAAAAAATTTTTAAGGGGCTGGAGAGATGGCTCAGCAGTTACGAACACTGGCTGTTCTTGCAGAAGACCTGGGTTCGAATCCCAGCACCCATATGGCAGCTAACAACTGTCCATAACTCCAGTTCCAGGGGATCCGACAGCCTTCTCTGTCCTCCACAGGCACTGCATGACACGGGTGCCCTTACCTACATAACACTCATACACATAAAATAAAAATAAATAAAATATTTTTAAAAATTTAAAGTATATTAGCCGGGCGTGGTGCACATGCCTTTAATCCCAGCACTCAGGAGGCAGAGGCAGGCAGATCTCTGTGAGTTCAAGGCCAGCCTGGTCTACATAGTGAGTTCAGGTCAGCTGGGACTACAGGGAGACCTTGTCTCAAAAAGACAAAAAAAATTTTTTTTAAATTTATTATTGTTTTATTTATTATTTTTATGTGTGTATGAGTGTATTGCCTGCATGTATATGAGTGCACTTGTGTCGTGCAATGCCACGGAGGTCAGAAGAGGACTTCAGATTCCTCTGGAACTAGAGTTAAGGATGGTTTGTAGCCATGTGAGTGCTGGGATTAGAACCCGGGTCTTCTGCAAGAGCAGCCAATGCTCTTAACTTCTGAGCTGTTTCTCCAGCCACCCCCTCACACTTCAGATCTCTGTGAGTTCCAGGCCAGCTGGAGATACAGGGAAATCCTGTCTCAAAAGAAACCACTGCCTTCTTCTACAAATGTGAGTGAACAAGCAGATCAATCGATCCCCAAACTGCAACCTCCTTGGAGTGCCTAAGGTGTTTTGCTTGGAGAATGTGAGACCTTGAGTTGTGGAAGTAGCTTGTGGGTATAATGCTTCTTTAGCATGTCCTGGGGCTCCATCCCCAAATTTACACACATAAAAAAGATAGAACTAGAATACACATATCCAAATATGTTATGTTGGGCCATGAAGAAGAGTGGTATGTCCTAAAGATTACTTCATCCAGTCCATAAATAAGGACAGTAAGGTCCAAAAGTGGTTTGACTCATGTCCTAGGAACCAGTGGCTGTCTGCCCAGGCCTCCATTCCCAGGCCAGTGATCCTTCCATCTGTCCACATTACCATTCATTACTCCAGTGAGAAGTTTATTAGCAAATGGAAATTTATTATTATTTAGCTACTTTTAGTATTTAGTTTCTATAGACATACTTCCCCTTTTTTGAGTGTGATCTTAAGAGTTGAACCCATGTTAGGGAAGCATGATGCTGTCACACAGTTACATCCCTAGCCCTCTTTTCAGTTTTTATCTTGAGACAGGGTCTCATTAAGCCCAGGTGGACCTTGAACTTACAAACCTTCTACGCCAGCCTCCCAAACAGTTAGGTTATAAGCCTGTACCACCTGGTCTGGCTTGTATATACCCTTTATCAATTTAGGAAAACGTCCTTCTGTTTCTAGTTTTATAAGACTTCACATTTGTAAATAACGAATGGATGATGAATTTTTTTTTTTGTCTTTTTGAGACAGTGTCTCCCTGTAGTCCTAGAAATTACTATTGTAGACCAGGTTGGCCTTGAACTCACAGAGATCTGTTTCTCTCTGTCTTCCAGTGCTGGGATTAAAGGTGGCATAGATGGTGTATGCCACCATACCGGCAGATAATGAATTTTTATCAAATACCTTTTTCAATAGAAAAGACCATATTTTTTAATTCTATTTTTGCAGAAAGCAATTAAAGGAGCCATCTCCTTAACCTCTTTATTATTATTTTATTTTTTTTTGGAGACAGGGTATGTAGCCCTGGCCTGGAACTCTCTATCTAGACGAGGGTCACCCACCTGACCTGTGATTTTTTATTTATTTTTTTGAGACAGCATCCCTGTAGCCTCAGCTGGCCTGGAATTCACTATATAGACCAGGCTCTGCCTCCCAAGTGCTGGGATTAAAGATATGCACCACCACACCCTGCTGTATGGTTCATTTTCTGTTAGTTAAATAAACACTGAATTCCTAGTGTAAACCCACCTTGGCTATAATATAATATCTTTTCCAGATACTGCTGGATTCAGTGTTTCAGTATTTTGTTTAGAATTTTAAAAAATCTACGTTAAAAAAAAGTGTTGAACTGGGCTTGAGAGACGGCTCAGCAGTTAAGAACGTTGGCTGTTCTTGCAGAAGACCGGGGTTCGAATTCCAGCACCCACATGGCACCTAACAACTGTCCTAACTCCAGTTCCAGGGGATCTGACAGCCTCTTCTGTCCTCCACGGGCATTGCATGACAAAGGTTCACTTACCTACATGCAGGTTTTACACATATACACATAAAAATAAAATATTAAAAAAAAAGTTGAACCATATTTTTTTCCCTTACACCACCTTTATAAAGTTTCATGTCTTCATTATGCTACCTTCATAAAATGAGTTTGTGAGCAGAGCAACTATCTTTACTGAAGTATAAATGACACACAATGCACTACTCATTTATCAAGTGCTTTAGAAATTACAGTGTCTAGGGCTGGAGAGATGGTTCTGAGAGACCTGAGTGACTCCATCTTGGATAAAACCTCCATAGGACTGACCCAGCCCTGGGCCCTGTTCCAAGAAAAACCACAATACTTGGAACGGATAGAGAACAAATCTTGGATAAAACCTCCATAGGACTGGCCCAGCCCTGGGCCCTGTTCCAAGAAAAACCACAATACTTGGAACGGATCGAGAACAACTCCCCCACCAACGGTCAATTAACCAGGGACAGGAAAGTACTAAAAGTCCAGATATCTTTTCAGAGTTCCTGAAGCCAGCAGTTTATGGTTTGGCACTGAGTTGCAACCAATCAGATGCTTGCCAGGCTGAAGACTCCCTACTCCCCTACTTGCTGAAATAAACCTATAAAAACCTCTGTCTCCCAAAGCAAGGGGTCTCACATCTGAGATCCATTGAGTCAGTGACAGAGTGGGCCCAAGCTTAAGCTTGTAACAATAAAAGAACCCTTGTGTCCTTGTGTATTTGCATCGGTCAGTTCCTTGGTGGTCTTTGGGGTCTTGCGAATGGGGCACAACATCTTGGGGGCTCGTCCGGGATCCCCAAGACACCCCCCCCCCCCAGGATCCCGGAACTGGAGGGTTCTTGGCTGG